TTTTATGTCATTTTGCAGGTATACGGACGTATAGAGCAATCTCACGGATTTTTTCAAAACCTCATTTTCAAATTTATCTAACATGTCAGAGCCTGTAGGATAGTTTTAAAAACAATAAATAACATTAAATAGCCATCTTCCAACCTGTTCTGCAGCTAGAAATAAATTTTGAACTTTTTCCGTTCTCCTTTCCTCCTGCTACATAGCGGGCGCTGTCATGTCCACAGCTGACAGAAAGCCAGCAGCCATTCGGTTACAGGATGACTGCCCTTACCACTCCACCACAGCTGCCCAAAGTCTGGAGCATGGCAGCCTCCCCCCTTACAGTCTACCCAAGGGCAGCTATGGCTACACTGTAGCTTACCTCCATCAGTGTGTGAATTTGTATATGAATGAGTAAATGTCTGTAAGTGTGAAAGCACTTTGGAGACTGAAGGGACTTGATAAAGTGATATATAAGTTCAGACCATTTACTATTTACCATAAAATGTACCATAAATTAGACAGGCAGGTCTTCAAACTTCATGTTTAGTTCTGAACAAACTAGTATTTTATTTTTTGTTGTACAGAGCTTTGGATGACATGTTTATCTACTTCTATTTTTCAAAGAATGTTAGCAAAGCACAGTTAAGTAAACACTTCAACATGGGATTTGTGATTACCTGAAACTGACTTACAGTATCGTTGTGTATTTCACTGTACCTGTCCAAAATATCCAGATCTGGTGCCAAGCTGGTATTGCTGGCATGACAAGTGGTTTGTCCACCAGATGTGGGCCAGGTTGGGCAATGATGACACTATTTTTAAGATGGCATACCACCTGGTTGTGGTTTGGTTTATGAGGTGCTGGCCCATGCATGGTTTACCTTTGGCAAACCACGTGGGCCACCAAAGGGCTGTCATTCTTTGTGGTATCTGAGCCAAGAACTGTGCCACACAAATATTTCTACGTGGGTAAATTTATTGAAAAACAAATCTTAATTTTTGTTTCATTCCAAAGGAATGCACAAAATGTACGGAACTGTGATCTACATCAGTTGATGGAAGCATAAAGACCACTGCAGCCGCGTGGGAAACGGTGCTTTTCTTGTTACAGCACCATGTTCTTGTGGGAAATCCTGCATGCTGGCATTGATTTGGGGTTTACTTTGACAACTTCTACAAATTTAACTTTTTTTGCAGGCCAGTCACACCCCTCGCAGATGGTAACAGCCCTCCCCTACAGCGGCTGCCTCACACCTCGGTGGGATAACAGAAAGTCCCATAGAAACAGCTTCAAATGGTTCAGTGACCATAACAGGTTTTTTTCACTGAGTCGCAAGACCTCTCAGACACCGGTCTGATGGGATCTGAATGCATCTGTGTGCAACACGGGCAACTCACAGTGACCCCACTCCACAGTTCACAGGGCCCAAAGGATCAGTAGCTGATGTCCTGATGCCAGAGACCTCTGTGCAAATGCACCCCGATGGTATTTCACCATGCCCAGGATTGTCTGAATTGTTTGCAGCTAAATGTAGACTTGGAAGATATTGTTATGGTGGGTTGGCAGTTTTCTTCTATGTAATACTACTACAAAATATACTAAATTTATTTAAAACTGAAAATACGGTAATTAAATTGACTCACATTCAATGAAAATTGTTATAAATGCAAAGCCTGCACCTTACAAATAATTCCTTACAAGTCAAATCCTCAGTTCCTTTCTTACTATGACCATTCCAGTCCTCATTTGTCTTCATTTATTCCCAATTTAAAAACATACTTATGTAAAGTATAATAGGATTAGCACAAAAAGCCCTTCACATGTAATAGTCAAACCTGACTGAACTTGATGCATTAATTCTGATTACGGCAAAAAAAAAGGTGCTTAAACTGACCTCTGCTAATTTAATTAAACCTGAAGGTGATTTGCACGTTGTCCTCCAGCAGCTCCCTCCAAGTTTATAAAAGCTTTTAAAGTCATACAGTTAGGCAGCTTTAAATATTCTCTTTATTTTCTTAATGAACTGTAATGAATTTGCTAGAAGCCTCACAGATTTAATGAGTGTTTGTGTGTACTATAAAGGAAAAAAAGTTCATTAAACTGAATTTATGACCAAAGAAATTGAGCCAAAAAGTAAAACAGTATGTGCATACATAGTTTCCCAACAGACTTGCGAGGTCAAAATTCTAATGGCAACATGTTAGTAAGCAGAGAGTGAATCACTCTCCACCTCCAGGCTTGTGTGACATCCCTGCAGTAATTTGCAATAATATTAAAAACTGCATCATCGAACAAGTTTTTTGCTGAGACGGATATTGTTACAATCGAGCCTGAACCAACAGGAGAGTCAAAGAGGTTGCTGACAAATCATCTGTTTGGTCCGATGTGTCCACCTGCTAAATGCAGGATTTTCTCAGGAAAGTTGCACACCCACACAAATTGCAGTGACACATCTGAAGTATAATCCAGAAGAACTGCTCACACATTGTGTAATGTATGTGCATTATTTGTTAGATACTGATTTTAAGACAAATTTCTTCAGTAAATACTCAAGAGAGAGAAATTAGTTTCATAATACTCAAACTTATACAACAAATTGTTTATATGTTTGTGTAGTTGGAAATGTGTATTATTTGTGTATTATCCATACTTGGTTCAATTTTTTTGCATAAAATGAAGCTAGCACTCCTTGAAGTACCATATGCGTGCAGCGTGACTCAAGTATAATGCAATCTTCCATTTTTGAGCCTAAAATGCATCAAAAAAATGAGTCCTTGGGTATAATGTTACCACTAATTTCATACAGCCTTTCTGCCATACCCTCTGGGGGGACACACACTAGTGAGTGTTCGTGGCCGTGGAACAGCGGTACACAATTGTCTTCGATTAGCAGCTCGTCTGGTCCTGTTGAGCACACAAACAAGCAATCCTACATGTCAAGTTGTACGGATTGTTTGTATTTTATTATTATTATTATTATTAATTAATTAATTAATTGGGTGGGGGGATTTCCAGGCACAAAGTTCAGTTCTATAAGTAACTATGTTATCTTCAGTTGTTCTGAAAATGGTGTCTGTATCTTTGTGTCATAGCCAATCTAAACACCTTTAAATTAGCCTCTGTTTCTTTAAGAACATCTTACTGTTTCTGACAGTCCCACTTCCGCACATTTTCACACAATGCTTCAGGGCAGGGGTGCTCTGTAGGAGCTTTGGGTAAATGGGTGGAGCTTTGTACTAATAAGCATTTAGGCAGCTCCACATGGCTACCACAGGAGATTCAAGGATTTCTCAAACATGCATGAATGAGAAGTTTTCCACCTCCTTGTTCTCCCGCCCGTGCTCCTATCCTACTGGAGACACTGTTATCTTTGCCTCTCCATAGTCGACAGTCCCCGTGTCCCCTCCAACCCCCACCCGCATTGTGAGAGAGTTCTACAATTTATCATGACCCTCGTTATGACCCCCGCACACTAAGCGTAAACGGGAGTCATTTTGTTTTCGTACTTTTTTTTTCAGTGATTTTTGGTCAACCGTAGCACAAAAACGGCTGCACCAATCTTAGATAAGCGGGCACATGGATAAATACATGAGCACGGCACAGAAGGGCATCGGCATAAATAGCAGAGGAGCCAAACACCAACTCCTTGTAGACCACACAGTCGCCCGAGACTGCAAAACCCGACACACCAACCTGTGCACTGCTTGGATTGATTACAAGAAAGCCTATGACTCAATGCCATACACTTGTATCATTGAATGCTTAGAGATGTACAACATCAATAGGACTCTAAGAGCCTTCATTGCAAACTCGATGGGGCTGTAGAAAACCACCCTTGAAGCCAACTGCAAACCACTTGCACAAGTGTCCATCAAATGTGGCATAATCCAAGGAGATGTTCTGTCCCCACTGCTGTTCTGCAATGGCCTGAAC